AACAGATTTGACAGCATACAGGGAACTGAACAGACAGATTTCCAAATGCATGCGAGACTTACGCAACTTTAATACTGCTCGTATTAAAGAAGCGATCGAGCGGAACCAGGGCTCCAAAGTCTTTGCCAGAGATCTGTCTGCCAGAAAGAGCCAACTGTCAAAGCTGAAGACTGAGTGTGGCAGCATCGTTTCCGGGACACCTGAGATTTTGAGTGAGATTGAGAGGTTCTATGGACAGCTGTACACATCATCGCTGGTGCCACACGCAAGTGTGAGTAACGATCCAAGAGCAAGTCTTACCCGACACTATTCCGATGATATCCCGGACTCAGTCTGAGCGAGTTTAGAATGGCTCTCCAGCACCTTAAAAACGGCAGGGCCCCAGGCGAGAATGGTATTACAGCGGAGCTTCTGAAAGCGGGTGGAACACCGGTACTTGAAGTCCTTCAGAAGCTCTTCAATTTCGTCCTCTATGGTGGCACTACTCCAGAGGCGTGGAGCAGAAGTGCGGTGGTCTTGTTCTTTAAGAAAGGCGACAATGCTCTCTTGAAGAACTACAGACCGATTTCCCTTCTGAGCCGCGTCTACGTGCTGTTTCGAGAGTCATTACGAATCGTCTCGCACGCAGACTCAACGACTTCCAGCCTCCCGAACAAGCCGGTTTCCGAAAAGGCTTCAGTACCATAGACCACATACATACCCTGCGGCAGATTATACAGAAGACCGAAGAGTACAATCTGCCACTTTGCCTGGCGTATGTGGACTATGAGAAAGCCTTTGATTCCGTCGAAATTTGGGCGGTGCTACAGTCCCTTCAGCGGTGCCAAGTTGACTGTCGGTATATCGAAGTTCTGAAGTGTTTGTACAGTAGGGCTACGATGGCTATCCGAGTACAGAACCAGAGTTCGAAACCTATCCAACTGCAGAGAGGTGTAAGACAGGGTGACGTTATATCCCCGAAACTCTTCACCGCTGCGTTGGAAGACGTTTTCAAACCACTGGACTGGAAAGGATATGGTATTAACATCAATTGCGACTACATCACTCACCTTCGATTTGCCGACGATATAGTCCTTATGGCAGAATCGCTGGAGGAACTTAGCACTATGCTCAATGACCTAAATAGTGTCTCCCAACGGATAGGTCTTAAGATGAACATGGACAAAACAAAGATCATGTTTAATGTCCATGTCACACCTATGCCGGTAGTTGTTGGGAGCACTATGCTCGAAGTTGTTGACGAGTACGTTTACCTGGGACAAATAGTCCAACTAGGTAAGTCCAACTTCGACCGAGAGGTCAATCGACGGATTCAACTCGGCTGGGCAGCGTTCGGGAAATTACGACACATCTTCTCGTCAGGTATACCTCAAGCTCTGAAAACTAAAGTGTACAACCAGTGCGTGTTGCCAGTGATGACTTACGGATCTGAGACGTGGTCCTTCACTGCTGGCCGTATGAGGACGCTCAAGGTCACTCAGCGAGCTATGGAGAGGGCTATGCTGGGAGTTTCTCTGTGTGATGGACTCAGAAATGAGGATATCCGCAGTAAAACCAGAGTGACTGACATAGCCCAACGGATTAGTAAGCTGAAGTGGCAATGGGCCGGCCATATAGCTCGAAGAACCGATTACCGATGGGGAATAAAGGTTCTCGAGTGGCAGCCTCGTACCGGTAGGCGTAGTGTAGGGCGACCCCCCACTAAATGGAGTGACGACCTGGTAAGACATGCAGGAAGTCCTGCATCCAGGTGGCTCAGGACCGTGCTTTGTGAAAGGCTGTAATGATGATGATGAAGTCCATAAGAAGCTTTAAGTCCACTGATGGAAAAAAAACATTCGTTATATCGTGTTTAAAATCCTCGGATTTATAATGTTTGCCACAAATATGTTTTAACATGTGAAGCTTTTCAATTGGTACATGTGCCAGGACTTCCTTTCCAACTAATTTCACCCGTTGCTTACATCGGAAAAAATAATATGTATAAAATCAAATTTTAAATATTTTTAATGAACAAATAGTATGTAAGCAGTCCCGATTGATATAGTTTCTAATAAGCAGCTCAGATGGTTAGAGCTCGCTGTAACTTTCACAGTACACGAGCAACCTGGGTTCGAACCCCGCCGGCACCAACAAAATTGTTAATTGCAATTTATTTTAAGCGGTGAAGCAAAACATCGTGAGGAAACCTGCATGTCTGAGAAATAAAAAAAAATCGAAACAGCGCGGCGGACACTTCCTTGCCCTAAAACCCTCTCAGAAATGAGAGGTCTGTGCCCAGCAGTGAGACGTGTATATGCTGTAACTTTAACTACGACCACCTATTACCACAAATAACTACATAAATGGCCCACAAGTCGTAAGCATGACTGTTCATCATGTGGTCACGTGTTCTCAGAAGCATTCTGGAGTCCGCAAGTTGGCGGTGTTACACTTCGTGCCTCGGAAAACTGTTGGTCCTACGCCTGATCTCTACAATCGTTTCAGATTGCCATCCCATCGAAATATCGGAGTTAGGAAATAGTGTTTTTATTTTCGCTCACAATCGTACACTACAAAAAATTGCTAGTCGCGTGATACGGGCGTCCGTGATCTAAATTCGGTGTGGAGGACATTACTACAAATAAAGATCCTAAAATGTAGTCGCGTTAAAATCATATCACAATTAAAGTTTAAATCGCCACATACATTTCATCATCTAAGGTTCTAAGGGAAATTTTGGAATGCCTTTTCTTGTTATTATTTTTTTAGCTTCTAACACCGTCTAATTGACAAGTTTTATAATGCATATTTGATTTTTTAACAATTTTATAAGAAGAAAACGACTCCTTTAGGAAAATGAAAAGCAATTTAGATAAATAAAATGAATACAAATTTAACCGTTTGACAATATCTTTGACAGAAATTACCAAAAGTATAGAGATAACCTTCATTAAAATTTGCTCCAGTTTCCTACACATATAACTTTTACTATGGAAGTTTCATCAGCCTGGAAATACGTTACAACCATACAATACTATATACTAATAATGTGTATTACAGTATTCTATGGTTACAACATTTTCATTATCCAATCCAAGTAAAAGTTAAGCTATATTTTTTGTGTTTTTATTTTATAAATAGAAGACGCGAACGAGCATGCGTTGGCATGGTACGTAACTACCGCTGCCCATTAACAAATGAGAGCAACACTTGGGGAAATGCAGGTATAGTAATTGTATCAATAAATAAAATTCTTTGAATTGTTAATATATTTATTAAATAACTACTTAAAGGCACTTAAGTACATTACGAAATCATCATCGAAAACACCATATTCAAGAACAATTAACCCATTAATAAACTTAATAAGTACCTACACTTATGTGCAAAATAATATTAATATGATCCAAAAATTTACTAAATATAAAAATACATTAGTTTAACTAGACATTTAATTTTTCTACTTAAAATTATCGGAAGTCCATATTAAAATGTTTACAAATTTTCATACAATAATATCCATGATAAAGTCAAAAGTTTTACAAAATTTTCTTATTTCTATATTATAAAAAAAAACGTCCGCATGTTATTCATAGTTTTCTCGATATATCACTCGATTAGTTACATTCATCTCTCTAAGGCTGCTTTTACAATCATCTGATTAAAATTATCCGTCAAATAAATAAAAACAATTAAGCTATTTTTATTCATAAAATTTCCTATGAATATTTTTTACCACTCGGTGAGTTATGAGAGATGTGATTACATTTTTTTTTAAATAGTAACATATTTTTTTATAATTCGGATTGAAAGAAAACTATTTGTGGCGGACGTAAATTACTTTGGAACAACTACACCTCGTAATATTCAGAACTTCTAACACTTAGATTTTTAAATTTAAGTTACTGAAGTGGTAAGTACACATCCATATACTAGAAACTCGGTGCTCTCACTAGTACACGTTTCAAAATATACAATCAACTAATTTAATGGACGGTTTAATTTTAATATTATTTTCTATTTTGGAAGACATTTTAAGAAGCAGTATATAAAAATAGTTTTGAGGAATATCCTCACTGAATATATGTAGTATGTTTTAATTTTATTATATTAAGACCATGTATATAACACACATTATTTCCATTTTACATACATGCCTAAACTACTGTCTGAACACAATCATTTTATATATGCACAGGATGTAATGTATATTTTTTGATTTTATTAAATAGAATATGTGTGACAAACCAGCACGCAGTCCACGTGATGGTAAGTGGATGCTGTGGCCTATAGAAATCTACATCTTACCTCGATTAAAAAACAAATACTATGACAGACAGATTTTAATACATATTTGTTCAAATAGCGTGCAATTTGGCATTATCAAAATAATTTGCATGGGAAATTTGGAAACGATTGTAATGTCAAAACACATCTCGTATTGACGTTTATACGTGTGAATTGACGTGTTAGTGACATTTGAAAATACTGATCTCCAACTGCTAAAGTCCTGAATTTCTTAGTAGTAAGACAGTACCTGTCAATGTCATATTAGTGCATGCCCATAAAGTAGACATTGACAGGTGTCTGTATATAAGAATTCAGACTCGTAGGCTTTACTGACAGCTGTCGCAGAGATCAAGCTATCTTTTATGAACTATAGTGGCTACACGGGCTCCACCCACTCTCCCGTTCTATTATGTATTATAGTATTCTATGATCATATCCCATAAATACACAAGTATACACTCTATCACCATTTTTAGCACTTGATTCAAAAAAAAATATCAAGGAACTAATGTTAAAGCTATTTAAATTTCATACACTTTTAATTTTTATTAAATGTATTGTGCAATAGTTTGCATGAATTAGAGTTTATTTGCCTACAAATTAGTGCAAATGAGGTTCCGTTATTATTCTTTTTTAACAAATAACAAAGAATACAAATCACGAATAACTAAAATTAATAGTTTACACTGGACATAAAAAACAAAAACTTCTCGCATTCTTATTTTAAATCAACGTTCAGCATTCAGCAAGTAGGGGATGACCTCATCGATGGAGACGTCACCAACAAAGCCAACAAAGAAGACATCTTCGATGAAGGTTGGGGTGAAGTTCCGGAGTATGGGCAGCTGTAGTAGAAGAGTGGCTACTCTCTCATCATCTGGCTGGCAGATCGCACGCAGAGAGCGAAGTACTTTCGCCTGGTAATCTTGAAGCTTACGGGTCAGGAAGTCTGGTACACCATCTGGAAGAAATGGTTTGTTCAATAGTTACCAAAAGTTTATGAAAATGTAAAGTATCCTGTGTAGTATAGACATGTGTCTGAATGAATGAATTAATTTCTAGTGACCCAATCACTCAAATATTGATTCGTCTTATGAACCGGATAATTCGAGTCGATCATTCAAATGCATCATTTTCGAGTTTCAGTACTCTGCAATTTGTGAGAATCGCTCGTTAATGTTAGTCGTCGCATATTATATTCTTTGGCCGTAGGTCCTGTCAATCGTTTGATCCCAAACAGAAACAGAAACTTTTTTATTTAATGTAGATTATAACGATACTTATTGAGTCACTTTTTTCATTTACCACTGGTTCGCAAAAACACCTCTGTCCTGGGAAGAACCAGCAAGAAACCCAGCGGGACTATTTTTTTTTCAAATAATAGCTTACAATCACGTTTACAATTAACAACACAAGACAAATTAGAAATAGCTTGGTAACAATCACCTTTCCCAGGGGTTATTATCATCCATAAATTCCTTAATATTATAATAACCCTTTTTATACAAACATAGTTTAATAAAATTTTTGAACTTTGTTTATGCCAAATTTTGTATATTTTCTGGGATTTTGTTGTAAAAGCGTATACATCGCCCCAAGAATTAATTACTGACTCTGAAAATGTAATTGCATCGTTAATACTTTGATGCGACCCTGGTGAAATTAACATATCACTCACAATTGAAACATGTATATATCATGGGATTTATGCGTGGTAGGGTTACGCTCCAGCGTATGGTTGTAGCAGGGATGGGTTGACTCTAACAGAACAGCAGTTTAGTGCTGCTGTGTTTCGTATGGTAAGTTTAGAGAAACAGAGACCCTTTTTATGGGAAACAAGACATTCCATCTTAGTTCTTAAGGGTGACAACGCATTTGCAATTTGATTCTTAATTGGGGATAAATGTAGTAATGTCCAGGGGCCACAACATTCTAGTTCTACTTCTATCAGGTGGACTGTGTGCTGTTTGTCACCCTATGAAAAAAACAACCCAGCACTCAACCCAAATGAGTTCAGTGTTTGCCATAGCATATCTCTGTCCACTCTGTCATAAGCCTTTTCCAATACCATGAATGCACAAAAAACCTTTTGGATTTTTGCCTAAAACTTCTCCGCGATCATGCGCATGGCAAAGACTTGATCTGTACACTTTCTAAATCCCGCTTGCACATCCCAAATTTTTCCATCAGTTTCTTTCATGACCCTTTCAATTAGTACCTTAGCATACAGTTTTATGTTTATATTTATGAAAAAAAAATGCTACGTACATAGAGAGTGGACTAAAAAAATTATAACTAAATCATAACTTTAGATATTAATTCATATTCTGATCAGGATCAAAGAGAGAATTCCCCTGACGGTGTAGTTGTTCATGGGTGGCGGTAGTCACTTACCATCACGTGAGTCGCACGTTCGTTTGCCCCCTCTTAATACAAAAAAAAACTTTAGAGTACAGACAGCATTTTACATAGTGAACAAATGACTTATCAACAAAACATTTACTTACCTGGTGAGAACAAGCACAGTGCTCGTAGATGCGCATGTTCCCTCTCGCTCACACGGAGCTGCTCCATATTAGTAATGAACTGGTGCAAGCGAGATAGCGTCGCACTGACCTCAGCTATACGCTCGTCAGAGTAATCCGCTATTGTTATCTGAAAGAATTGAATAGGGAAAGAATTTTAAGATTAGGGCTGTTAAATTGCATTTTTCTCTCCATCATACTTAATTTAAAGTTAAAATTCGTTGTGGAATAAGGAAAACAACATAACGATGTCCATGTGCTTTGTTGACTGTCTCTCTTTTTTTTTCTAAATAGTTTCCTCTGAACTGACGCATGTCCGGAAAGGTTAAACACCTTTAACAGCCCTATTAATAAACGCAAACTTGATCGAGATTAACTTTACTCCTAGTTTAAAGCTTACATATCTAATTTCAGTATTAATAAACATAGATTAAGGAGGGAGTAAACTAATCCGAATCTACTCTCGGAATAAAAGTTAATCCTTGGCGGTACCTAGTTTAACGACTGAGTAAGCATAGACTAGTCGCGTATTTTGACATTTTGTAAAACTTTACGTATACGCGCTTTGTTACCCATGTGTTGTAAGCAATAGTAACAAAAACAGCATAAAGGATTAAAATGCCAAGAAGTGATGTGGAACAGAACAAAGTGATTGCAGGTTTTTATTCATTATGTGGATTTAGACAAGTGATTGGGGGCTATTGATTGCTACATATTCTAATACCGAAAGTCACTGGAAACATCGGACAATACTACATAAGACATGAAAGGATACAGTTCAATAAATGTACAAGTTTTATAGCACCTAGCTAGCCCATCTTTGCCATATAGGTACTTAGTTATTTTCTTAGATTCAATACAATCACCTCAATCTATTATTTCATATTAAAGAAGTTATGAGTGCTTTGTTCCAGGTTGTGTCAAATGTAAATTTAGAGTTCATGGATACAGTGGCACATTGGCAAGGCAGTACACATGACTCAAGAATATTTAATGAAAGTCGCATTAAAACAAACGTTTGAGCAGTCAGAATTTAAAGGCAGACTTCTTGGAGATTCTGGTTATGCTTGTACTCCTTATTTATTCACTCCTATCCTGCGTCCTAATAAACAAAAGGAAGGAATGTTCAACCGGTCGCACATCTGGGCCCGTAACACTGTAGAACAATGCTTTGGAGGGAAGCAAAGGTTTCGGTGTTTACTGCGAGGACTAAATAACAAAAGTACAAAAGATTTTATTTTACCCCAAAAAACAAAACAAAAATGGTTATTTAATTAATTTTGCCCTTCACGCTCTTTTCTTAATTCTAAAATTTCGTTACAAATAATATTAAAAATTATTATATTTAGAACTTTGTTTTTCTACCGAGTCCGAAAACAACACGAGGTTGTTCCATCAACACGTAACACTTATCTCTTCTTCTTCTTTCTTTTGTGGCGGTTTGATAAAATTCGCCAATGACGTATTGAGTAGAAAATGAAAGCTTATGAGTTTAATTAAAATAAGAGTCTGTGATAATACAAGGATTCAGTTTTCCTCCGAGAATTTTGACAAATCTATTTGTTGAATTACCTAGAACAAATATGACAAACACAGGTGTTAGACTCTTACCCGTATGTTAAAAGTGACAAGGATTTAAAGTTTCATATTATTAGTATTAATAAAATCACATAAAATATACACAAAAGGAGTACTGGTATATGTTAAAAGAGAATTAAAATCTATAGGTCGAGGAATATAAGGAGGAAGGTAATCATAAAGGGAGGAGGATAATTTGGGACAGTTGAAAAAAATATGGTTTGTGGAACCTTCATCTAAGCCACATTCACACAATGAGCTATCCCTTACTCTGATTTTTGCCAGATGTGCATGTGTACAGGCGTGTCCAATTCTTAATCTACAAATGATTGAAGTTGCATGTTTATTTGCTTTGTTAAATTTAAAGAACCAAGGCTTGGGAGGAATAACCTCTTGGATGGCAGCATAGTGCTTACCTTTAACTTTTCTGGAAACTTCCCATAATTTATTCCAATTTTCATTCAGTTTCCTTTTAGCTAGCAAAATTAGGTCACGTGAGTAAATTAAATTTTGTAGAATGCCATTAGCAATTGCACTTTTAGCGAGTACATCAGCTGTTTCGTTACCATGGATACCACTGTGGCCTGGAATCCAGGCCACTGAAACATGGATTCCTTTAAGATGGCATCTGAATAGGGTATTTTTTATTTTAAGAATTAGTGGAAACTTATGTTTGTTATGGAATTGATTGGACAAAATAGCTAACAAACAACTTTTTGAATCTGTGAAAATAACTGTTTTATTAAGATTATGTGACTCTACATATAACAAAGCTTCACTGATTGCAGTTGCTTCACCAGTAAAAGTGGAGGATAGTGAGGGGCATTTAAAGTTAAGAATGATTTTGAACTTAGGAATCCAAACAGCAGCTCCAGTATAGTCTTCATCAGAATGTTTTGAAGCGTCTGTGTACATGACAAGCCAATCTTTAAAGGTGTTTTCTATAATTTCTTTTAATTTCAAATTTGCCATTGGAGAATCCTTTTCTATACCTAGATCTAGATGAATGTCGGGTTGGTAAACAATAGCCTCGTAAGGAACATCAAAGAGTGGATTTATTTTGCATTGAAAGATTGGGTAAGGAAGCTGAAGAAAAATTACAAAACTTTTAAACAAGCAGGGAGAGTCCTTATGGGTCCAGTATCGGTCAGATGAGATATACTCTGAAAGAAGGTGCAATTTAGGAATTAGGGGATGATCTGAAAGTTGGCAGATCTTAAATAAGAATCTGTCTGAAAGGTATTGCCTTCTTAATCTTAAAGGAGGATCTACGCACTCAACCTGAAGAACATTTATTGGTGAGGATTTCATTGCCCCTGTAATAATGCGAAGGCATTTCGATTGAATTTTGTCCATTACTTTAAGGGATGATTTATTGCAAGGCTCCAACAGAAAACATCCATAGTCAAGGTGGCTTCGTATTAAAGCATTGTACAGTAATTTCTGAGAAAAAAGGATGGGACCCCCACCAAACACCTGACAAAGACCGAAGAATATTTATGTTTTTTTCGCATTTTTGTGTTATATATTCAATGTATGGACCGAAGGCCAATTTCGAATCAAGGATAACTCCCAAAAATTTAACATTGCCTCTAACTGGAATAGGTTGCTTATCATATACAACAGATATATCGGGAACTCGCCTTTGGCGGGAAAAGATCACCACACTACTCTTGGCCACAGATAAAGAGAGGCCATGATTAGTTAACCATTCTTGTAAATAATCCATGGATGAGTTTAGACGGGAACATGTCACTGAGAAGTTGTTTGAGGAGATGTATAGAGCTACATCGTCTGCATATTGAAGAACATTACAAAAAGAATTTACTGAAAGTTCTAAATCGTGAGTATATATAGAATAAAGGAGAGGACTAAGAACTGAGCCTTGTGGAAGTCCTTTCCATATAGTTTTTGGGGGAAGCAGGAGATTTTGAATATTTATAGATATGGATCTAGAAGAGAGAAAGTTAGAGACATAATTGACTCTCCTCACAGGAATGTCTGGATTAAGCATTTTCTGCCTGAGTACAGGAAGAAGCACATTATCATATGCAGAAGAAATATCCAAGAAAACTTCTATGAGAAATTCATGTTTTGAGAAGGCAATATGAATATCTGTGACCAAGGTACTTAGGCTATCTATGGTACTTAAACCTTTTCGGAAACCGAATTGGCTTTTAGGTAAGAGATTATTCCTTTCCAAAAACCACTCCAAGCGATTTTTTATTAAATGTTCCAAGATTTTTGCCAAAGTACAAGAAAGGGCAATAGGTCGGTAACTGGAAGGGTCATTGCTAGACTTACCTGGTTTGAGAATGGGCAAAATAATTTGGGTTTTCCATTCAGCAGGAGGATCACCAGTAATATAAATAAAATTTAAAATGGATAGTAAAACAGTTTTAGTGTTCTCACTACTATTAATTATAAACGAATAAGGAATCCCATCAATACCTGGTGAGGAGTCTTTAAGGCCATTGAGTACAGTAAACAATTCCTGAGAAGAAAAGGGGGGAATCAAATTTATCATTTGTTTTTAAAAAAGCAGAATTAAAAACTAGGCATTCATCATAAGATGGGACTGTTTGTGGTGCAAGTTTATTAGAGAATTCATCTATCCACGGGGAAGGATCATTAGAAATTATATTTTCACTAGAAACTGCACAGCGATATTTTTTAACATTTCTCCAGACCAAAGATGGGGGAGTCCTAGGTGACAGTGACTCACAGAATTTCAACCAACCAGTTCGCTTTTTGTCTGACAGTAATTTTAAGGTTTCTGCAGCAATTTTTTTATAAGAGATATAATTCTCTGCAGTCATAGAACGGGAGTATATTAATTCAGCCTCTTTTCTTCTCCTACAAGCTGCTGAACAATCTTGGTCCCACCAAGGAGGGGAGGGATAATTATTTTTGAAAGGTTTTTTTAAGGGGATTGACTTATTAGCAGCAGAAATAATTGCATCTGAACTCTATATATACAGTAGCAATATTATCATTGTTAATTGGGGGAAGAGTTGAAACCTCTTGTTCCAAGACTTTAGAATATAATTGCCAATTAGCTTTGGATAGATTATACTTTAGTCTTGGGCAAAATGTAAAATTTATTCTAGGTGAAGTAGGAGGAGTGATGAATATAGGAAAATGGTCACTGCCATAGCTAGAAGGTAATATTTGCCACAAAAGAAGGGAAGCAATATCTGGAGAGCAGAGAGTTAGGTCAACGGCACTTCTAACATTTTGTAATGGGGATACTCGACGGGTAGGAGACCCATCATTTAGAATACAGAGATTAAAATTATCAATAAGATCTAAAAATAAGGGAGCCAGTGAATCACACAGATGGGAGCCCCAAACAGTATGATGCATATTAAAATCTCCCAAAATAACCATAGGAGGTGACAGAGAAGAGATAAGTGTTGCAAGTTCTGTTAAAACATTTACATCAGGATTAGGAATGTAAACAGAGAGAATAGAGACATCAAGGAATGCCTTGCATGCCTTAATAGCAACAGCATTTACTGCTGGACTATGAGAAGGGAGAGGAATTTGTGA